CTGATCTTAATTAATGTTTTGAGGAAAATGTAATCTTAATGTAGCAGTTTCTTCCTAATATTGGAAAAATGCATTTCCGGGAGAAACTATCGGATCGAATAATGAATATTATATCATCAATTGTTATCAGACCAATAGAGGTAACAATATAAGTAGCACAGAAAGTCATCATTACGCTGTTATCAAAACTCACCATGACGCAAATTCCATTTTAAAGTTCTAAATAAAATAATAATAATAATAATATTTAATTTTTATATAGCGCTTAATACAAATGTCTCTAAGCGCTTTACAAATATACCCGGTCATTGGATTCAGTGCTTGCCCGCACACACTGTGTGCACAATCTCCACTCCCTCCCTTGACTCCCGCCCTCCCCTACCTCCCTCCTTTCCACACTCCCTCCAACCCTCGCTACTTCACCCCCCCCCCCCTTTCATCTCAATCATTAGGTACAAAGTTTTTGTCTGCAATTTGTTGTTGTTGTTCTTTCTGCTTGTTTTGTTGTGTTTTTCCAAACAGAATATATATCGGACAATCCTTCCAATTATTATTATACTCCTACGCCTCTCTTGAAAACGCATAGCGTAAAACCATTCAGCCTATACAGTGTATTTTGCTGGATATTATGAAAACAGGGTCCTTAAAAGTCAAATTAATATTTAATCACAAGTACAAAGTAACATCTAGGCGATTTCCTTGATATTGATTAGCTATCTACAGGTATACAATATTATGTTAATGGGAAGGAATCGAGGCAGAGTGGTAGGGGGCGAGCTATGGCAATGTCATAATTTTTCAGCAATCATGATATTAATGAAAATGAATCACGCCATTATCTAATCATTCTCTGCAAAGATCATTGATTCTTCATAGAGCCGTTCCATTACTGCACATAGAAAATATAATGACTTAATTACGGCACGTCTGTTCATATAAGAGGGACACTTAAGTTACGTTAAAGGGAAGAGGCTATTTGCCGACAATTAAGCATTTTCACCCATCAAATCACTTGACAGAGGCGCAAAACATAACACGACGGCGAAGCAAAAGATAATCAGCTACAACAATTTCTTAATTCGGAGACTTTTGAAGAAACGCGCGATACATGAGGTCTGAATTTCTAGACAGAAATTGTGAATTGGGTGGAAGTTGTACCACCCGACATATCAGTGGCGTCGCGTTGAACTAGCTATCAAGAGGGCACTGGTCTCGGGGGAAGGGGGTGGGGGGAGGGGGCACTGATCTTACTGGGACTCTGGGAGTATGAATATGGAGAAGGCAGTGCCATCCATTGAGTTGAAATGATGCCGTTGGAAGAGGTAACATCTTAATCCTTTCATGTTGCCTTTTCATACCCTCTCTTTCTGTTTTCTTTTTTTCACCATTGGATAAGGGACCAGGCGCGGATCCAGGGGGGGGGGGGGGGAAGAGGAGAGAAGGGAAAGAAAGAAGAGGAAGAAAAAAAGAAGAAAAGGGGGAAGAAGGAGATCGGGGGGCCGAAAGGGCCTTGCCTCCGAGGCTGTTTAACCCCCCCCCCCAATCAAAAAAATAAGAGAGAAGGAAGGAAAGGGAAAGAAATGACACAATCTCCGAGATTTTTCCTTACTTTTTAGTAAATACGTTTGTTAATATGTGTTTGTTGGAGAATGACAAATTACTAAATTTACAGCCAGGCAAAAAATATGATTCTTGAGATTCCTACGTCATGTCAGGCCCGAGGTGGGGCGGGGATTAGGAGCCTCGAGCTCCCTCCCCCCCCCCCCCCCCCACTTTTTTGAAAAAGTATATTAAAGAGAAAAAAAATAGAATGAGAGCAAGAAAGAAAGAATAGTTAACTGCTAGTGTTAAAAATTAATGAGGCATCTATATGCTAATCTGACCGTGATTAAATGCCTAAAACCACTAAGCTCCCGGGGGCTCTGCCCCTGGATTCCACCTAGGACCCTACGGCGGGCCCTTAGATGCTCATCTGACGGTAATTTAATGCCTAAAATCCCTGATTTTTTGGGGCTCCGCCCCCTGGAACCCACGCCAAATAGTGACCTGCCAGTTCATAAAATAATAAGGTATAAAAAAAATGCTCATCTGACCTTAATTAAACGCCTAAAACCCCTGAGCTTCCGGGGCCGGCTCAGCCGCCTCGACCCCACCAGGGGCCCTAAGGCGGGCCCCTGAATGCTTATGAGACCGCAATTTATTGCCTTAAACCCCTGAGCTTGCGAGGTCGGACAAGGTATCAAAATGTGTTTATCTGACCGCAGGCGCGTAGCCGGGGGGGGGGGGGGGGGGTCCCCCAAATCGGAAGAGGACGTAGGAAGAAAAAGGAGCAGACAAAGAACCCCTTTGAAAAAAGGATTAAGAGTATAGAGAACGGTACAGCGAATCGTCTTCTTTCTCTCATAATCTTGTGAAACGTCAAAGCTTCCGCGCGTGATTGGGGAACCTGAAATCAGACGAGGATTCAGAGGCGAGAACGGTAATACGAATCTTTAATGATTAAATGAAACGTAAAAGCTTCCGCGCTTCGCGCGGGATGGAGGGGAAACTAAATTCCGACGAAGATTATTTTCGAGAACGGTACAACAAATCGTCTTCTTTCTCTAATGACTTAATGAAAATTAAAAACTTCCGCGCTTCGCGCGGCAGGGGGGAACCTGAATTCAGACGAGGATTAAGAGTCGAGAACTGTACAGCCAATCGTCTTCTTTCTCTCATAATCTTATGAAACTTAAAAGCTTCCGCGCTTCGCGCGAGAGGGGGGGGGGAGAACCTGAATTCAGACGAGGATTAAGAGTCGAGAGCTCTCCAAAGAATCGTAATAATTTAATAAATCGTAAAATTTTCTTGTGAAACGTCAAAGCTTCCGCGCAAAGCGCGGGAGGGGGGAACCTGAATTCAGACGAGGATTCAGAGGCGAGAACGGTAATACGAATCTTTAATGATTTAATGAAACGTAAAAGCTTCCGCGCTTCGCGCGGGATAGAGGGGAAACTGAATTCCGACGAGGATTATTTTCGAGAACGGTACAACAAATCGTCTTCTTTCTCTAATGACTTAATGAAAATTAAAAACTTCCGCGCTTCGCGCGGCAGGCGGGAACCTGAATCCAGACGAGGATTAAGAGTCGAGAACTGTACAGCCAATCGTCTTCTTTCTCTCATAACATTATGAAACTTAAAAGCTTCCGCGCTTCGCGCGGGAAGGGGGGGGGGGACCTGAATTCGGACGAGGATTAAGAGTCGAGAACTGTACAACGAATCGTCTTCTTTCTCTAATGATTAAAGGAAACTTAAAAAGCTTCCGCGGGAAGCGCGGGAGGGTGGGAACCTGAATTCAGACGAGGATTAAGAGTCGAGAACGGTACAACGAATCGTGTTCTTTCTCTAATGATTTAATGAAACGTAAAGCTTCCGCGCTTTGCGCGAGAGGGGGGGGGGACCTGAATTCAGACGAGGATTAAGAGTCGAGAGCTCTCCAAAGAATCGTAATAATTTAATAAATCGTAAAATTTTCTTGTGAAACGTCAAAGCTTCCGCGCAAAGCGCGGGAGGGGGGGAACCTGAATTCAGACGAGGATTCAGAGGCGAGAACGGTAATACAAATCTTTAATGATTTAATGTTACCTTCCGCGCTTTGCGCGGGATGTAGGGGGAACTAAATTCCGACGAGGATTATTTTCAAGAACGGTATAACGAATCGTATTCTTTCTCTAATGATTTAATGAATCGTAAAAGCTTCCACGCTTCGCGCGGAAGGGGGAAAACTGATTTCAGACGAGGATTAGTGTCGAAAACGGTACAACGAATCGTCTTCTTTCTCTAATGATTAAAGGAAACTTAAAAAGCTTCCGCGGGAAGCGCGGGAGGGTGGGAACCTGAATTCAGACGTGGATTAAGAGTCGAGAACTCTCCAAAGAATCGTAATAATTTAATAAATCGTAAAAATTTTCCGCGCTTTGCGCGGGAGGGGAAAAACTAAATTCAGACGAGAATTATTTTTGAGAACGGTACAACGAATCGTCTTCTTTCTCTAATTATTTAATGAAACGTCAAAACTTCCGCGTTCGCGGAGGAGGGAGGGGGAAACTCGCCCCTCCCTGCACCGACCCCCCCCCCCCCGCATTACGTCACTGTTGGTCACCATTACGTACCAATTTTTGGCTCGCATAATTTCAAATTTGGGCCCCCCCTAAGAAATCCTGGATCCGCGCCTGTAAGGGACAATGGGGGGGGGGGGGGGGTGCCCCCAATGGAACATTTTGAGTAAAACGCCCCTGAATCATTAGCCTTTTACACATACAAATAAACATACAATATGTATTATGGTTTTCTACATCGCTTGCATTTGGGTAATAATTTTCAGTTTTCATTCACGATCGACCAGCCATGATAATGCATAGAATGTCAAAATAATGAAGAAGGAAGAAATAGAAACAAAATCAATATAATTTACAGCATTATAATAACATAATCATAATAAATATATGATATGATTATATATTTACAATAATATCTCATGTCATTTTGATTGTACACTTACATCTTTACATAACATAGTAATAATGATTTGATTGATAATGATCATTGACCGAGAGATAATTTAGCAATATTTCTCGTTTCACTGGACATCGATCATGTTGAGTAAGAAATAATGGCGTCTCCGATACAAGAGGAGGGGGGGGGGGGGGGGGGCTCCCAGCCAGGGAATAGGGAAAATGGATCTCGACAGCCATGCGTGATACAGACTGACTGTAGGGTGGAGCAATATCTTCTAGGCCTTCAAAACATTGGGAAAGGGGTGGGGGTCCCCCCCCCCCACTCCGGGGTCGGAATGACCGCATGCGTGTCACCAAAATGTCCGGTAAAGGGGTACTTTTCACACACCGAAGTCCGGCTCGTACATACAAAAAATTGACTTTACACACCGGACTTAGGGGGTGTTTTAAAAAGAGGAAACACGCATATGCGTACCCTAAATAACAATGAGTGGGGGGGGGGGGGGGTGGCCGGGTGCGGGATTTACGGGCTGCAGGGGGCGAGGGGGCAAAGCAATCCAGCATTATAAATCTGTATTTCTAATACAATGTACCTTTCATGTCGAGGCGCATAATAATACTTAACGGAACGTGACTTTTCTCTCCTTTCTCTTTCTCTCACATGCGTTTTTATTTTGCGACAATCTTTTTGTCGTGTTTTGCGCCAATTCAAGTGCCCCCGTCCACCTGCCCCCTTAATTTCGCCATGCGGTTCAGACCCTAGATCTTAAGCGCCATAACTGGAGGATGTTGCCCCGATTTGGCGGGAAACTACCGTATGTCTCACTTGCCGTCTGCTGAAGGCTCTAATACAGATTTCACGCCATTCTGGCCTCCTCAAAGCCAGTGACGGCATCGGCCTTCCGCGGTAAATGAAATAAAACTTTACTAGTCCACCGTTATAGGAGGGGTGGGAGGGCGGCAGGCCGGGGCCCTATAGTTCATTTCCCCCTCCCTTTCCTATCTTCTCCCCTCCCCCTTTTGACATTCGATTGCCTCTAAAGGTAGTTACCCCTAATGACCTTGGTCGTATTTTATTCTGTTAGAAAGTGTCATTTTCCCTCTCAACTTTATAGGAAGATCCAATGCCGTCCGGCAACTCGCAAGGGCCAGTCTGGTTAAATACAAATCAGCAATTCATTCACAGTCTCCTCTTTTGTCAAAAAAGTATGTAATCAGCGTGGACTAGCACCTGAACATATAATATGTGGGAACACAACACTTCATTAAAATCCTTCTTTGTCTTAAATATCTTTATACAGAGCTAGCCATAGATATTAACTTTCTATAGTTCTATAAAAGTCATCGTATTCTTTACTTTTAACCATTTAATTTCTATTCATGACGCTTTCTCCCTTTGTCAGCATCTATCCTGAACTAATTTTCCTCCCTTTTCTTTTCTATCTCTTCTGTTCATCCTGATGTGCTCCTTCAGTTCATCATATTTAATGTTCTTTACGTCATCCCTCTTGAACAGCGGACCTTCTATCTCATCTATCGCCTTTAGGAGAAAGGTTTCTTGGTCCAGGCACGGAACAGCTAACACAGATGTTTAGTCCTAGAAGGCGTGGAGAAAGGTGGTACTATAATGTTCATCAGGTTCTTTTGATCCTTAGACCTGGTCCTGGAACCATTGCCATGGTTACAGCGGTTAATGTCAGTTTGGGCAGTACACACACGTTTCATAATATATCAGACACCCTACGCCGGCTTAGATAATACGACCAATAAGTGACGGAAAGGAGGAGGAAAGTGAGCGGGAATAGGACGCGGGCCAGCTGGTCGATCCGCAGGGCCAGCAGCTTCGAGCTCCGGTGCGAGCCCTGCGAAGGTGAGGGCGAAGACGACGAAGACGACGATTTGAAGAGCCCAAAGAATACGGGATGCTCTTTTTCACCTGGAACATGACAGTCTCTGTGGTTACGACTCTCGTAAGCCATTCCATTCTCGACGTCCTCGTCTAGCGAGTCCATCCTTGGGGTTTCGTTGTCGTAGTTGTTTCGGTACTGTTCATTTCGGACGGGTCGGTATGTTGGTCCGTAGTTGTAATTGGCGAATCGCGGGTCGGGCTTGTTCTCGTCGATGGCGACGGTGTATTCGGTCGATCGACCGCTGGTGGCCGAACGGAACTGATGACGATGGTGACGGTTTGGGGACTCGTTGTCGGGACCACTCAAACAGGTGCTGGGAAAATGGAACTGCATGGTTAAAACAAACAAGAAGAGAAGAAAGAATTTAAAGATCGCCACATGTGAATTTAATTCATTCCCATTGTGTCAATATTATGCAACACGGGATAGTCTCTCCCCATTCTACAACTTCGTGGTCTCAAGTCTGTCTCTGTCTTCGCCTTCCTCCCCAGCCCCACTCCTACTCTCTCTATCTCCCTCTCCTCTTTTCTTCTCTCTCTCTCTCTCTCTTGCTTTGTCTCATCTTTTATTGTGATAATTCCTCCCTATAACCTCCCTCTCTCTCTCTCTGACAATTATTTTCAACACTCCTTACTTCATTGTTCATTGTCCAGAATTTGATTTTATTTTCACACCATAACTGATGGGAGCCAGATATCTCCAAATTTAAACCGCTGCCGTTGTAATTTTACCTAACAAGATAGAGCAACAACGACATATGGTATTACCTATAGGCATGCTAGAAGAAGATTCATACCTTTTTATTATTTTTCCTCAAGACCTTTTGTCTTTGTCTCTCTGTCCTGTCTTTTGTCCATAAATAGTGAACCACAGAGTATTCAAATAAACTGGATATGGCGAAGGCTAAACAAGCATCAAACCAAATATCGATGGCCTGCAAACAGAAATAAAATAAAAAAAAGGAAAGAGGGAATTATCACACAGCATCAAAATGATATGATCATTTCAGATGTGATAATAATCTTTGATGCAATCACGTTTTTGTTCGTTTGGAAATCTGTCATATGGATACTCCTTTCCGAAAAGAATATATATACAAATATGAATATAACTGATGAAAGTATAACACATAATAAAAATCTAGAAGCACCCCGATATAATTTCGATACTGGTACTTTTTAGACCCCAGTCCTGAAAAGAGGTCCGCAAATGAGTTTCCCCATGCATGCTCACATAGCCATTGATTCTGCATAGATGGCTCTGCATTCTCAAGTTGAATAGCCCCATTTACGTCGTAAGTTGTATTGAAATTACAGTGATAAATTATTTGCTATCGAGAACAACTCTGTAAGTTTCATGAAGTATATATATTCTTTAAAAGATCTTATATTTCTTAGTGAATAAATCTGATGTATTTCTTTACCGCAATAACTCTATGAACGTCCATTAATCGCTATTAGCAGCGCTTTTGCACAAGCATGTTGCTGCAACACCACCCCCAAAGGGGTATTATCGGGATTTTCTAAGATCATATCAGGATTTTAAAATAAATTCTTATTGAAAAAAAAGGGCAAACAGCATTTTTTATTGAAAATTATTTTGCGAAAGCCTCTGCGATCTTGTTCTTCTTATTTCCCCATATGGATTTAAAAATAGATCAGAATTTAATTCACGAACCTTTGTATACGAAACTTTCGGCAGGCCGGCGGACCCCGCGTAGCCCGTGGTCGTTGTCGTCATCGTGAGTATGGTGGTGACGCCGAGAGAGACCCGAGCGGCGGCCTGACTGATGTCGATCCAGAAGGACACCCAGGAGATGATGACGAGGAGGGCGGTGGGCATGTAGGCCTGGACCACGTAGAAGGTGAGCTCGCGGATGAGCACGAAGGAGAACTCGATGCAGGAATAGTTGCCTGATGAGAGGGAAGATTGATTTGATTTGATTTGGTTTATTTATTTCTGTTTGATTTTCTTTTTCTTTTGCATTTTTACTAATATAATATTTTATAACAAAAAAACCGTTGCAAATTGTACACGTTTCAAAAGAGTATAATGTCAAATAAAGTAAGGCTGGCTGTAACTAATCGAAAAAAATCAAACTGGAGGGTTGACAAAATAAGCAAAGCTTGATAACATGACTAATAATAAAATAATAATAATACAAATATGGAGGAACACATATTGGTAAAAGGGGAAAGAGAGAGAGAGAGAAGAAAGAAAAAAAGAAAAAAAGAAAGAAAGAGGTGGTGTACATTAATATTCACAGATGTATGTGGTACAATGTAGTTTGATTTCAATTTGATATATGAAGATACAAAGAAGATGCACATTTGAATATTAGGTGGCCAACTTGGGATATAGTTTAGAATGAGAAGACTCACGATGTTTCTGGACTCACGATGTTTTTGGACATTATATACCTCACTTAAGAAATCCAGCCATCTGATTGGTCGAATTGCATTCATAAACTTCAACTGTTCCTGTAAAATTCCCGGTAACCATGCTTAAAACATTTCAATATTTTTAATAACCATGGTTATTAAAAAAATAGGTCAGTCTCCATGGTTACCCCATAGGTTTACATGTTAAAAAATGGTTTGAGCGATGGAGGATACCATACGTGTGCGAAAAATTGGTCGGCAATTTCAATACAATTGAATCTCGATCGATCTTACCGACAATTTTATCTTGCATTGTTGACATGAAGACGAAAATTAACTCTCAAAAAAAAAAAACAACATCTGCCGATAGATCTTGATCTAAGTTCGTGCCAATATGCATTGCAAAAGTAAAAGAAGGGTCCGTTTCATGGAGCTTTTGCGAAGCATCCCTCACGCGGAGCCGTTTTCAATCCATTTTAATGTATATATTGGAGAAAACTGCCAAGCATGTTAACGGCGCGCGATAGCCGAGTGGTCTAAGCGTTGGTTTTCGATACACCTCTTGTTGTACGCAAGAGTTCGAATCCCGTCTTCGACAAAAATGTAAATTATTTTTTATTTTTTATTTTTTAGTCTATTTTTTTTCGGCATATAAAAGTATTAATGACTGCTTTAATATTCGAGAAATAGTTGTTTTCATACGCTCTCGGGAAGGTTACAATTGGGCTATTCCCCTCGGCAAGCCTCGGGGAATAGCACAATTCTAACCTTCCCTTGAGCGTAATAAAACAACTATTTCTCTCAAAGCAGTCATTAATACTATAATATAATACGGTAAGAATGTGAAATCAGCGAGCTGGTTTTGTAAAGACTGTAAACCTTTGTTTGTATATAAAACAGTGTTTAAGCAGTATCCCAAGAAGGTCACTCTTTATTCAGGCCATTCTTTATAATAGGAAGAGATTTGAAATGGATGATGTATTAAAAATGGCTTATTTTTATACCCAGTGATTTCCAAATATTGCTAAAACGACATGATTTTCCGGGTTTTTATTTCACTTTTTTTTAATTATACCTTTTTCTTTCTGCCCCCAAAAGGACCCCGGGTAGCCATTACGCCTGCTTACCTGTGGTATAAAACTGGTCGGTGCAAGGGCCATGACTGAGCTCGGGTATCACACTGAATTGAGGCAACATGATCAATGTGCTGAGGACCACTGCGTCCGGCTCCCTCCATTCCAACGTTAGCTCGTTATCCGTACTCTGATCTAGAAGGCATAGAATAAGGAGGAGAAAAGGGTAATTTCATTCTATCAAGCAGTTAAAGCAGTTTGAAATAAAAACTATGTCTGGAGGCGGTGCGTTTAAGCTTAAATTTTGAAGGCAGAATGAGCGATTTGTAACGCTCATCGTAAACACTCATCGTAATCGCAGTTCCACGGTGTACTGTTTATGCTCACTTCTCTGGCTCCTCCAGGCAATTCTCCCTGGGTGGCCTTAATTGGCCTAGCAGCTGGATTCGCAAACCTGCACTGTGCTACGTAGACCCACTAGAGGTTAGTGCGTTGACCCCACTTAAACGCGTTTACAAATTGTAAACGCATCTTTTTGTGAGTTTACGATCGGCGATCGTGATCGCCGTTTTTCGGTGATTCTACAAAAGTGAGAAAGGACGCAACCGTGTTTTAAACTAAACGCGTAACAGATGCCTGATTCTGGCCAGAAAAAAGATGAGCATAAACATAGAAACAAAGAATCCTCCAGAGTGCAAGTGTTTTTAATTTGCCGACACAAGTTAAAAAAGTACAAATTGGTCGACAACGGTTTGAAGTTTTACCGTTTGAAGTTTACCGACCAAAACTTTGATTTAGCAGTGTGCAATTTTAGTCAATAAATCAGGTTAGATACTGGGTTTATACATTTGACACTTTTCAAAGATGATAACTAAAATCATATACATCAAAGTGGAAGTTTGCCCTTTTCTAAAGTTTAAGTATGAAAATATAACTTTGACAGCATTTCAATTCTTTTCACACTTTGAAAATGAAGACCACCCCATAAAAACCCGTTAAGTTTGTGTATCGATCGCGGCTCCAATTCCAATTTTTTTTTGTGCTCTAGTTCAGTGTCATTAAAACTTCTTAAAACTGATTATTGAATACGACATTATGAAAAGCGGCAGATATGATGTACAATTAGAATATTAAAGATTTATGTAAATAATAATAACAATTAGGTATACTCACAACTTTCCACAACGGTTCTACACCGTTGCATGTCCATGGGGAAAGTCTCAAAATTCATTCGACACGAGAGAACCAACGTCAACCTGTAGTTGGGAGTAAAACATAGATTATAAATGAAATCAAATCGTTCAATTAATAAAAAAGAAGACAATACGAAAATAAAGTCAAGGCGCGAACACGGGCGAAATGGGCATTTGGATAAAATGGATATTTTCCCGTAGGACCGGTCGGTGTTTTAGCATGCGTAAGCCTTGTAAAGAGTCTCTACAATTCAAAACTTAAATATATATTGACACTTAAACTTCATATTTCTGTTTCCCCTCCTTCCCTGGGACCTACACCTCCCACTGACCCTCCGTTGGTCCCTTGCTCCCCTCCCTTTAATTTCTTTCGTTCTCTCTAATATAAATGAACGAATTCTCCCATTTCCTTTCCCTACAAGGTGGGTACATAAATGATGTTTGTTAACTCTTAAAACATTTTATATCACCTCATAGTTATATCGACACTCATTCACATCTTTAACGATTCTAGAGTAAAGGCATGTAGAACTAAATACATTCTTCATCCTAAAATAATGAAATTTGGCCTATTTCCAAACGCCCTATATGACCCTCGCGGTGATTCCTATATCATTGCTACATCGAGTAGAACTTTTCCTTGGCACCTAACGAGTTGTAATTATTCCTTGATTATTTATAACGATTCTTAGATATAGATTACTTGAGTTGAATATATTCTACAACATAAAATAAACTCTTTTAACCCACGCCGTCATTCTTAACACCTGCTCTGATATCAGTTGATTTTATATTCTGGCAACTGACGAGTCATACTCATCTATTGATTATTAATGATAATTCATGAATAAAGAATACTTGACATGAATGCATTTCTCTATCCAATAGTGAACATAGATTTAATTCCAACACTTTTAAACCATCGCCATCACTCTTAAAACAAACTCTGATATCGGATATATTCTTTCTTGGGGCCTTTAGGGAGTTGTAATCATTCATTGAAAGTCAATATTGATTTCCTGAGTAAACATTACTCGAATTGAATACATTCGACACCAACATATAATGAAAGTCGACTTCAATCCACCTCTGTTAACCCTCGCGGTCGTTCTTGAAACTGACTGGATTTTTCTTGGGGGCACTTAACGGGTTGTAATCATTTTATTGATTATTCTCTGCACCTTTGACTCAAGTGGTGCACATGAGAGGAAACGTCCCACGACCCCAAAGGGTAGTCTACTTCTTCGGATTACCAGCGTGGCTGCTTGATTAAAAGGTGTTCTTTGAACTCTACGCTTCTCTTAAAGGTATAAGATTCAACAGTTTTTTTTTTAAAGCCCCTCTGCACTAGTTTGGCAATGAGGGACCTCCCTGCAAGGTCACTGGGAGGTGGTTATCTCATCAAATTAGCTTTAAATTAACATAAGAAAAAGGGCATCATGGGAGATCAACGGCATTGTTGGCTGTATAGAGGGCGCAAGTAGCTATAAATAGTGCAGTGTTTAATAATAATGCGTTATATCTCGTTATCATAAGAAAAATATGTGTACAGTTAGTTTAAGAATAATGTACATAATAAAATTAAAACCTTTAATGAAAGGAAAGTCTCGTTAACAGGGTTCAAAGAAGAATCTGGCATGATATTTCAAAAGCCCCGCCGCTATAGTCCGCCGCTAGTCCTCCGAGACTCGCTCATTGCCATGGTGATGGTAGGGGTGTGCGTGTGAGCGCTTGTGTGTGTAGGGAGGGGGCGAGGAGGCGAGGAGCAATGGTTACTTCATGATATGATTTTGTTTCTTTCTTTCGACCCAACACACGATACCCGTTGCCACGCCGTCCGTATGTCGAAACATCGAGCCCCTTTCACTCTTCGAAAGATGTGGGTTTTTTTTTTAGGGTTCTTGACATTGCCTAGTGATTCTAAAACTTAATGCTAAAACTTCTCCTAGGAATATTGTAAGGATTTGGAAGTTCATTAAAGGTTACTTCAGTACTAAAAAGGGGTCATTACTGACACAATGATTCTTTAAAGAATCTCCTAAAGGTTTTTTTTGACATATTACGGAAAAACGAAATTGATACAAAAAATGAAGGCAAAATACATTTTTCTTGACGTCTTGCTTTGGGGAAAAGTAGTTATTCACAATTCATTCCTTCGTCTCTTATTCCTTCTATCAGAACGTTAGCGAATACGACTTTAAAGTCTGTTAGATATTCTGTTCCACACATTGATCGCGAAATCCTTTAAAAAAAACCCTATCCTAAAGGTTCCACTGTAGAACCCTCTTGGGGTTCTACATTCGGGACAAGGTTCGGAACCATAACAGATCTTAATTTGCAAAAAAATAAATAAAATCTTAGGGTGTATTTGGAAAGCAAAAGTTCTTGTTTCAACGTTCGATTGGAAGATAGGAAATACGTGCCTTTACAAGACCTATACCGGACATGTTGAGTGATTAATCTAAAATAGTTAGCGGGTTCAATCGGGGACGTCTCTCATCAAATACCCTGAAACTTAACATTTTGTTAGGGTTGAGTCTCTGTTCGTATTACTCGACACGGGGCTTGGTGTGTTTAATTCCACACGCCAATGAAAGATTGGAGACCGTAGGCCCCAACTGAACACTTCGGAATGGCATAAATGTCACATTAATTGAGGCAATTTGCAGGATCGACGGCTGTTCTCTTTTAAAGAAGAAAACGAAAACAAAAACGAGCTACTCTTCTTTACTTTGATCAGGTCACGTCTGGTGGTCGATATCACTATTCGCAGCTGGATAAACTAGAGTGTTTAGACACCAGTCTGCCCCTTTGCCGAGACAATCTAGAAACTTTAGCAAGAGAAGAGATTGAAGTTTGATCAAGTTTATTCAATTCTGGCTCGACAAGTGAAAAAACAACAATTAAACACATCTAGCGCTACATACCTAGACATAAAGGTCAGTATTCACAGACTGCACCCTATATAGCTTAAATTCAAGTTTTAAAAAACGACAACTAAGTGGGTATAGGTTTCAACCTCTTCACCCTGGTAAACTTATCATAGGTCTCTAACTGAATAAACAAACAATATTGTGGAACATGGAGTAGATTTCTCACTTCTATGTTAAACTATACAATCCTTTGTATTTTGTAACAGAAACTACTATTAATTTGAGCGCGAAATTGAGGTTGACATTAATGAAGCTCCATTTGTCAGTAGACTAAGTTAAACAAGATTAACATCTTCACTTAACAACCAAGGCTGCAATTATTGTCTTGTGGATAATTATTATAATCAACTAATAAAAATACGGCTATCCAGTGAAGATTTCCGCCTGAAAAGCAATACTTTATCGCCTGTTTCGATTCCGAGACACAACGGTTCAAAGACTGTACCACTGGGCCATCACGCAACTTCATAAGTGAATTCAGATATTAGAAAAAAAAGAATTTCGTATATAACTAGCCCACTCGGCTTTAATCGACACAGTAATATACCTTTAAACATTTGCATGTACTTGATTGTAAATGGGTGCATGCATGGTGTCAAGGGAAACTTGCTCTCGCAGACGATAAGGTGCACGGTTTCACGATTTTAATCAACACTCGTGACGATAATGATCGATCGCTCAGTCGAGATTTAGATACATCAAAGTGCGAAAACCCGGCGCTAAATTGGTCGGCCGCCTCATCACCCCCACTAAAACGAATTAGGCTCCGGATTTAATTTAACCCGATTTCCTACTTTCGTGAATTTTCTGCCTATTTCGGCGCGGCACATAAGTACTCTAAATTTACTTCATGGTGGAATTTTGGAGAAAAAATCTGTACACTAGAAAAGATATTATGAGAGCTGTTGCTTGAGGCAAATTACGTACCATGCAACAATTTGATTTTGATTTTGAATTATTTATCTATTTTCCATATAATGGGAAGGATCACCCTTTTCAGCTACAAGCTGGTCTTCAAAGGGGTCTACCGTGTTGTCGGTTTTTATTTCGTTATATGAAGAAAGCTTTCGCTAAGAAGTGGAAACTCGGACCACTGATTGTCGAGTGCAAATTAATAGTTAGGGTCAGTGAGTGTATGGAGTTTTTGGTGTGAGTGATGCTGAAGGTGTGCGTTTTGGTGTGGGTGATGCTGAAGGTGTGCGTTTGTGTGTGCGTGTGTGTACGTAGGTGTGTGATTAAGCGCTGCGAACCTAGTGAAAGGGTCTTTCAGGGCAAGTCCGAGATATCTAGTCATTTTCTATTCCATACGTTACCAAGTATCCTGGAATACAGAAAATAATTAACATTGAAAAGGATCATTCTTCTTGATGTTTGTTTTTGTCCAGGTAGGCCTATAGTAGGGCTATTAACACAATACATTTAGACTAAAGTCTTTGATGTGGTCGGTAACCTATGGAACAAAAATACCTTAGACTCACCCTTTTTTTCAATTGACGTTTAGTGGAAGATACAGCTACAGTGAATGGCAGAACAATTGAGAAATGTAATTGTGCATTTAGGATTGTGTCACAATGTTAGATACCGTTAATTTGGTACTTTGATTTTCTTATAAGAGATGTTTCATCCCCCATGTTTTTCCCCTTTCTATGCTTGTTTGACTTCTAGCATATTTGATTTTCCAGGCGCGAACTCCTGCCTCTCTTAAAACGATAATTTCCGCCAAGCGTTCTAACCCAGGCAATGAAAATTTAACGAATCTCTTCTTTTCTTGCATGCGTCGAAATTGGGAACAATGATCTTCGTGAGTAGATTGTGAGGAAAGAAATCCGCGGATAAAACGAAAATGTTAAATGTTTTATGAGACATCCATCTTTGCCGCTTAAGAAGACATGCCCCGGGGTCGAGGATGGTAATCATGTATTCAACTCCTCTTCCGTTTTACGTGATGCAAAGAAACTGATTCTCATCTTCTCTGCAGGCGACAGTTTGCGTGACAATGAACGATCCCATGATAGTAATCGGTAGCTGGATAATAAGCGGTAGAGGTGACAACGATTCCCGCCAAACTCCATGAGCGTAACAAGTGAAGGGGAAAGAAAAAAATGTTGCCTTGGAAAAGAACTGTTGTCGTCAGTCGTGGTTTGATGGAAGAGGCGCATGACATGGTGAATTTAGATACGGACACGGAAGGAAAGAGTGCAACATCGAAAGAAAGGGTGAGGAAAAGAAGGGAGGGGTAGAGGAGAGAGAGAGAGAGAGAGAGAGAGAAGAGTAGGGAGGGAATCATGAGGAAAGGAGAATAGTAGATAGACAGAAAAGACAGAACGATAGATGGATAGAATAAACGACAGAGAGAGAGAGAGAGAGAGAGAGAGAGAGAAAAGAACATGATATTAATAGGAAATACTGTACACGAATAAAGTGTATGGGTGTGTTGGAGTGACAAAGAAGTTGGGGAGAAATAATGAGAGAGAATGACAGAGAGAAAATGAAAGTAGATGACAGTGAGATGGGGGGGGGGGGGTAAAAGAAAAGAAGAAGAGCCACGAACGCAGGTTCGAAGCTGAGTCACGTCTTTCGGAAGGTGACGTTAAAGGTCGGTCTCCAGACGTAGATAATCATATCTGATTGATACACGTCTGTAAAAACCCAATTACACACACACAGGTAATAAAAGACGTACTAGTATGGAAAATAGCATTTTCATTTAGTCATGGAAAGCAAATCAAGATAGCTGTAGTATACAAAGTAAAACAATAATTTTGGTATCAAATTCAAGTTATTTTCGGCCTTAACTTTAAAATGTTGGGTACAAAACTTGCCTAGCACGATGCTTATGATGTATCCAACCAACTTTGGACATTCTATTTTACCCACCCTGAGCAACATATTGTCCAATAAGGATAACAAATATGGAATACTTACTTTGAAATGGCAACATATTAACCAAGTTGAAACAAAATCCAAAAGTGGGTGGATTCATAATTATCCTAATGGCACATTTTTTTAATACCATTATTTGTGTATAGGTGTCCCCTGTTTCCCAAACGGCGTAAGCACCACATGTTTTTGAACGGGTCTGTTGACAGTGTTTTCTTCTATAGACAACTCACCTGTTGAGAGGCAAACGAGCAATAATTCTTAGGGTGTTTCATAAAGATCCTAAGTCGAACTTAAATCTAAGTTGGACTTCAACGTTATGGAGAGCCATTTGTAGCCTTAAAATAAAATATATTCAAAAGGAAAAAGCCAAGTACTTTCGACTTCTCATAAATTCCACATCAAGAACATGAAATTTCCTTGATAATAGAAAATATGGATTATTTGAATCAACAATTTATGCCTTTTAAAATAACTTTTACAAAATATTTTTAAAGATGCTAACGGCTTTCCATAATAGTTAAGTCCAACTTAGAGATTAGTTCTACTTAGGATCTTTGTGAAACACCCCATATTATGATAAAAAAATTCCACTTACTTCATGCTGTAGTAAATATCCCCATTTGGATAGATGCGAACGAGCCTATTTGGTTGCGTGACGTCATGATAGTTGGCCTGTTTCTCGTTGGCGAAAAATAGATCCGGGGCCCAGATCTGTTCTATCATGTCCTTCCCCGATCCTAGGTAAGGCAAGTGGGACTTGTTCCCGTAGGCTAGTCTCGGATCGTTCCAGTACTCCTTCAGCAGGATGGTCATTCCGAAGTCCTGCAATGAAATAAAATTAAGATGTATATTATTTGATTCTTGATATTATTTTGTGTTTCACTTTTTTCTGTATAACTATGTTTTGTAGGACTTTTGTGTCTATTCAGCAAAAAGACGTAAAACGGATTTTTCATTTATATCTGAATCCTGTCACCTTGATCAGATATAAATGAATAAAGTAAAGGAAAATATATTTACGGATTTAAAGTATTACTACGTAGGGAAAGTTTCCAAATAAGGAGAGATGTGTTTTGCAGTTAATCATCTTGATAGACCATTTTAAATAGAGGGCGATTTGACAGTCTGTCGACAAGTTAAGCCGAAATTCGATTTGATTAAAATTTTTGTTTGACACAATAAAGTAGCCTATGGAGGGCTAAAACGTTTTTTTTTTAAGTTTCAAGTTTGGTCAAATTAACATTTTAAAGAAGATGTCACATCCATAAGCCCCGTTAGCGATGCACCTGATTCGGAATATAACACATCATAACTTTCAGAATTTCGCCCATTATGATACGCACTCGAATAAGATATGTACGAGTTTTGGAATTACGGACCTTCCAAATAATTAGCACAATTTGCAAGAACGATCCGTCGGAATATTGAAAAAGAGGTTTTAACCTTAAAATTCATTAGGAGGGCACGATTATTCATTACTAATTAAAATTCACATATCTGGTTTGACCTATTTCATTACTCACGACCTAATATGACTATATTTCTTCAAATATAGTATGGCAATTTTCAAATTATTACACACATAATGAGGACGAAAAATTGCGTATCCACACATTAATAAACGGACGGGATGATTTTTTTTCTCGCGAAGGGTAAATGGTGGAATGCATCTATACAGGCCATTTCGGTGAAGACCCTTATAAACTCTACTGATTTTTTCCTCTGTTATAAACAAAAAAGGGAGGGACACTACCGAATCATATTTGATAATCATCAGAGAGGTACAGTCCTATAAAGGATTCCTTGAAATTTCTTCAAACATAACGCCCACAACTGAGAAGTAATTTTGATTTGATTTATTCATTAATTTGATTAACTTGATGTTAATTGTACGTCTGCCTTTCATAAAAAATGTACACACATTGCAGGCAAATATAGTTAAAAAATAATGCAGAAGATAAGTGTATACCTCTCTTCAATTTATTAGATTAAAATGAGATTCAAGATTCAAATGATTTTATTTCCCATGCAAAACATAATACAATGAATAAGTATAGTATAAAAAATATACAATGAAACAAGACAAATATAAAATAGATGACACGAGAACAGAGGAACTAACTCGAAGCAGAGCTTGTTGAAGTATTAGTTCCTCAGAGGCTGTATTACAATACGTCTAGAAAACAAATGAAATTAACATGAAAAGTGGTCGATATGTCACTTTAAAATGGCTAATTTTGCTCAGAGCTGCACACAGATTTAACAAAATTTGTTTTTAATTTCAGAAATAATTATTAAATAAATGACTTTTTTTTAAATAGAAAAAAAAAAGAAAATAATCAAATACGACTGCTTTTTGTCCATACGGGAAGGAACATAAAGGTCCATCGATTGTAAATTTATTTTCATGCAACTTAATTTCACCTTTCACTCTTTGATTATCCTCTATTCGCATCGTCCAACGCGGTTCACAACAAAGTCATCTAAAATGTTCGAAAATTTAATGAAGTTTAATGGGTTTGGATATTAGATTTTAAGTGCATATTTATTCGGAAATGAATTTTGCCATTTCCAATACATAAATGAATAAAGTAAAGAAATTAATGAATAGAAATATTTTTCTTCACTCGCCGGCATGAAAATGCGCAACCTCCAAATCTCAATTACGTGGCCAAAATTCATTAATATAACCTAGCCTTTTACTGCTTTGAATTATATCGTAAGGGGAAAAAATATTGATGGAAAGGGCAAAGGGTGCTGGAAAACAAGTAGGATCTGGACAGATGGTTCTGAGATAAGGGGACAGGGGGAAAAAGATGAAAATGGTTGAGGTTTTGCTTCATGCTCTGCCGGACTTCGTCATGGCTTGATGCGGCGTCGAACGCGGAACAACATCATCAGCAAAACGGTCATGACATTCAGTTACTGCTAAAGAGCAAATGATGACCTGAATGTATAGGGCACTCCTTTTCACCTAAAGCTATGGATTTCAGTATGCATGGCTTGTAACCAATTCATATAATGTACGTGGCAATTAGACAAACTGAATGCTATATTTAAATTATGATTTATCATTGGATAGTACTCACTTATATGCGAATTGGGTACTTATGGCGAATAATTACATAATCGCGATGTTACAGATGTTAATACATGAAACACTGTGAAAAGGTTGGACAATATTTTCCGTACAGTTTGCCCAATATTGTGCCAATAGTCAACCCAACCATTTGGTTGGCAATATTTTCCCCAGTGGTATTGGTAAACGTTAGTACCCAACTTAACACGGTCAGAAATGTTTCGTATTTTGTCAAGATTGTCCCAACAAGTGGGCTACCGTATAGTCGGGAAGTTGAAGGGTCATATCTCTGCACAAATGTTGGTCAAATCTTGCTCAACAAAAGAATTACCAACGTAAATTTACCCATTTGTTAAACAGTGATACAACATACATAACAGTGAAACAAATACCAATGATTTAGCTTGAAACTATACAGAGGTTTTAATAAACACTGGGGGGGGGGGGGGGGGTGATATATAAAAAAAAAGATACCCCAAAACTAGGGCTAAGTATTTGGAACAACTTAAAAAGCGTATCGCATCTTGTGTATGCGATGCAGTAAACAAAGTGGGTGTATTGAAAGTAATGTTACTTCCATGATAAACAAAAGTAGTTAGGCAAATCTTCTATTTAGTGAAAGTACAACGGAACAACCTGGCATTAGAAAACGATCAAAGAGAAACAAATATTTTGAAGTATATATTGCAAGAAATGTAGAATGATATTAACAAGAATAAAATAATAACATCGGGTATAGTCAAAGGGAAAAAAGGAGTATAGATAGACAGAACAAATAAAGTGAAATAAAGAAGAACAAAAACAAGAGAGGAGAGAGGAAATAAAAGGAGATAGTGAGCGGCGAAGAGGAAAGAGGGTATGTAACGGTGACAGGTAAACAGGATAAAGAACGGAAATTGGTACAGTTTTAAAGTACAACGGTATTGCGAATAATCTGAAATAAAGGGTAGGCCTAAGTAGAAAAAAAATATACTACGAATGCAGATTTACTCATATCAAAATTGAGCGTTTGAGTCACGTACGGAATTGTAGAGTATTTTATGTACCTCTGGGTTTTACAAGGCGGTAAGTCAAGAAAATTGGTATTTCTTAGGTTAGAACTCTGTAGCGAGAAACAGATCCACGGGTTTGGGGGGGGGGGGGGGGTAAAGTGTCATGGTGAAGTTCAGACTTGAAAAAACGAAGTCCAAAACTGTATTTAAATCGTCCTTGTTTTCACGAAGTGACGGTAGTGAGGAAAATCGTAACGCAAAGTGAATGCAATTTTTTTTCACTACCGTCACTTCGTAAAAACAGCGACGAAATATATATTTAAACGAAGAGCCTAAACTAGACATGTCAACTGCAGGACAATCTAAAACTCAAGATACTGCATGACATTAAACAGCATGTAGAGAAGAAACCGTGCGTAACTTGACGTCATATCAAAAATAGATGTCATGTCTTCCTCGCCATGGGGGCGTTTCTATTTTCAAGGAAAAATAAGGGAACGTCATAAACACAATCTTAATAGGGGCATCTTTATAAGCCCCTTATTTTTTTAATCAAGGAGGGAGTCCCGATAAACTCGTGTCAGGACAACTATCCTGGACAATTTTTGTCCTAGAACAATTCCCTCCAGACACCTACCTCCAGTTTACTTCTCCCCCAAAAGACCACACCCTAGATGTACCAATACTCGAGGCAACTACTATTTTTATGGACATCCAAACTGGGTGGAAAGTATTTAAAAATGGATTACTGTCTTGTCGAAGGACTTTAATGCCGGGCTGAGATTCGAACCCTCAACCCTATGATTGAGAGTCAAGTGGATGGACCACTATACCATGATACCTCCTCTAAAATGTCTTTCGAGGTTTGAGAATATGATATGTGGATCAGTACATGATATGACAATGAAAAAGAAAAAAAATGGTGATATATTTTCAATTTTTATATTCAAAGAAATACAATGGAACAAAATTATAACAATAATACTGAATAAAAAATAACAAATAGATATAAAGAAGAAGGGGGAATGCAGATATCTTACCATCGTAATTTCGGTAACAGAATCCAAACTGATGATATTGATACTGCACGCAACGTTCGTGGCTGCTCCTGTACAAAGACAAAAAGACACGACATTTTTCAAAGGAGATTTCAGTTTCAGAAAATTCTCTTTAATTGAGAACCGCCAGATTTAACAGGTAGACTGCCTTTCATGGAGAAAGCAATCGTGATATCACGTGGTTTATAAGCTCAATGATATCAAGAAGTTTATAAGTTGCGAAGATCAGTATAAGGTCTCCTCTGAATGACGTGTTTTGTCATGCCTGTAGGCAAAACATATTAATGTAAATACATTCTAACATGATCTTTTAGGACTAAGAATAAAAACTATGAATAAAAACTATGAAATCATATAGGACTATGAAATATTGCGCCTAATGGACGGAGCTCAGAATCTCCATGATCTTAATACAAGTTGTTTTTTTAACGTAATTTTGTTACTCTCCTCATCCTTCATTTTCCAAATTTTTGCCAATTAAATTTATGTCAGGTTTTTTTAGTAAACATGGAGCTCTTTGAAAACTATCAATATTTCTGAAAATGACGAGTCTGACATGTAACTTCTTTATACAGATTAATTAAAAGATAATCACTGACCTAAAAGTAAAGTATTTCCATGTCATTAATCCAGTAATTCCGATCAATAAATCACATTTAAAAACTTCAAGAAGTACCGAATTTCTGTGGAAAATAATTAGAAGTTTCAATCAACTGATGCCAAATTCATCCATATAAATCAAGGTAAGGCATGGATAAGATAAGTTAATCCTTCTTCAAACCGTGTATATACATTTACAAACAAAATATACTGACAAACAAACCAAACAAACAAAATAAAAACTTGTAAGATATAAATGATATTGAGTATAAAATTGTCCTGACCGAGACTACACATTTATTCGTCTTAGAACCTCGAAATAGTGAACATAATATGGCTCAATAATATTGTAGGATAAGCTTTCTGGGTTACACCTTGTATTTTTTAAAGAAATAAGAGCCCTGAAAAGGATAGGTAAGCTGAGGTAAGAGCTCTTCGTTCCCGATGCTTCGTCTTCGGAAAAAATCAATACGGAAAGAGGATTGTTACCCTTTTTTTTGGACCAGTTTAATAGAATTACGGCAGGAATAAAAGATGCATTGGTTTCATATTTTCTGATAATTTGATGAAATTCGAGGATAAATCGTTGTAAATGATACCCATAAAGGGGGTTTAAATAACTGATAGCAAGATAAAGACAATAACATTCTACTTATTTATAGAAATTACTTAAAATGGTGGGCAAAAGATGTTTCAAATATATCGAAAAAAGAAATCGATACATAACTAGCCGTTGTCAAGTGCTAGAAAAATGCCAATAATAAAAAAGGAGTTTAAAGCGACAAACACGGCGAGTCTTTTGTTATCCTTGAAATATATGGAATGCCGGAAAAAGTCGAAAAGGGCGATTAAATAAAATCCAAGAATGCAATAACTGCCCCCCCCCCAAAAAAAGACTACTTATGTGACGATGTTTTTTAAGTGTCATTCGTATACGACATATTCAAATTGAAAAGAAATGTCAGTGAACGCAATGCCCTGCTTGTAACTGCTTTAACTTATTCATCACTTTAGTATAGCATTCACCACATTTCATTAATATCACTTTTAATTTGTAGATGTTGATTTATCTATTAGCAGAGTTAATTGGTTTAATCAGTTTAGTTAAGTAGCACTGTTAGGAGTTTTGTTTTCACTACAACGCAGTAGAGAACATTTATATAGAAGTTGCGCTATATAAATATATCTAATTATTGTCAATATTACAAGTCTAAGTAATGACGTCAGTTCCTAATACATTCAACAACCAATAAATTGAACCAGGCGACTTCATGTGTATAAAGCATTTCGCCACGTTTCCCCTTTTCTATATGCATCATTTTCAATTTGGAGTGTAAGGAATACCGGCTGATTTTTTCAATTTTCTAACCAACCCCTTCAAAACAAATTACCTCAAATATCTCAAATCCTATCAAAGGGGTGCCACTCCTAATTCGATTGTTACGGAACATTAGACTTTGAAATTGGATGAAAGGTTTGTGACGTTGTTGCGTCTTATTTCATCACTTACGATAATCCAGTCAGCGAGAGTAAAATAATTCACTTCTTTTTTTATTAATTCATCTTCCATCTTCTTTTACCGTGGGTGTAAAGAAGGCATACAAAGGTTTTTTTTTATCTGATTGATTGTGTGATTAGGTTGAAAATGAAAGCTTTAATATGTCTTGAAGGACGGTTAATCATTTCTCAAGAAACTCAAGAAAAGTGGATTTAGAACATGTCGTCACCTAAATCGCTTACCCACGCGCGTTTTTGCACGGGTAGAATTAACAATTCATTTTGTGTCAGTTCAGTTTTTAGGGAATGATTTTGATTATAGGTCGATTTCATACCCTATATTTTGTTTATAATTTGTCTTCATTCTTCATTTCTTCATGTATTTGATTGTTTGTTTATTCATTGTACATGCTATGATGGAAGCATGACAATTAAAGTGCACAGACTTTCCAAAATATTTATAAAATCACATTCCAAATTGCAAGACATAATAATGTGGTTTGTCATATTGTACATAATCATCTCTAATATTCGTCAGAATTTCCTTCCTTTTTTCGGGGGGGGGGGGGGAGGGGGTTGGGGGCAGTATCGGAACTCACTTGCTGGTGAGCTCCAGAGTACAGAGTCTAGAAACGATGCGCACCGCGGTGATCTTACCGTATTACGAAAAAGTAACAATTGTAACTGTACCTGTTTATAATTTCTAAGCCAGGTTATGAATAGCCCAAAGAAGTAAACCGTGTACTCTCATAACCTCACGTCTGAACTGATGTGATGTGATATGGGTAGATATTATGATGAAAACGATGTGATATTATAATGTGAAATGATGTGATGTGATATTATAATGTGAAATGATGTGATGTGATATGATGTGATGTGCGGTGGTGTGGTGATGTAATACAATGTGATGGTTTGTGGTGATATAATGTGATGCTATATGATATCATGTGGTGGGGTAATGCCCTGGGTAATGTTCTATTAGGGACTTTTAGATTTACACGACGAGAACGTGGACTGCGACGCGATACATCCTTTTAAGGCAATGTGACGTCCTTTTAAGGCACTGGCAGTGACGTCACATTGCCTCAAAAGGATGTCACACGAGCAGTCCACGTTCTCGTCGTGCAAATCTAAAAGTCCCTATTATGATGTGATGTGACCGTCACTGGTGCCTGTATAATCCATCTCCAATTGGGAATGCACACAGTGGCTATAACTGTGTCCATAAGCATATACTCAACATTGCGTATCTTTATTCAACTAGTTTAGTCTAGAGATTATCAATAACTTAATAAAGAAATAAAGGATGACGTTTTTGAAGAAATCGAAATGTCCTCTGCAGATCTCCTGCATGCAGATCACCTGTTCAAGAGAAAACACGCATGGTTACTTTCAGTAGTACAGAACAGAAAGAAAAACAACTACAAGAGCGGAAGATTATAGTTCTTCAGTCGGTATATTTGTCCTACAAATTCACCTGCAACAGAGGAAGTTATTAACCAGTCGTCGATAATGTTTACATGAGTATGGACATCAATGAAGAGCATTACGCATTTGACATTCGAAAAATGTGAACAACATCGTAGCCATGAATATGTGGACGTGCATGGGACCGAGAAAAGTTTCGTAAAATTATTAACAGGTAGTTTGACAGCGTGAACACAAAGAAAGGTTTTTCTGAATCCATTGCTACAATGCATAATTGACATATATATATTTATTCTGATGAATCTTGGTTGGAAATATAGTCTTGAAGATGATGATGATGATGATACAAATGATGAATGGTATTGGTAATACTACGGACGATAATGGTGATGACGATAAAAATGATGAATGGTAATACTACGGACGATAATGATGATGACAATGAATGATGTCAATAATAGCGTAGTAGATGGTTTTGATGGCGACGATGACGGTTTGCTTTTCTTCTTCTTTCTTTTTTCTTCTTTTTGTTTACCCATGACTTTCTGGCATTCTAAGATACTTGTTTTGGAGATAAAAATGACAAAACACATTTAATCAGCTCCGAATCCAGGACCTGTCGATTCCAAGACTATTGGTATCTAAGATACTCCATCATCATTATTTCTATAAGATGTGCGATGACATGGCAACATGTAGATGACAATGATATACGATGATTATGTGGACAGTGAATCAGTAGAAGTGGAAACTGTTTTTTTGTGCTTTATTTATTTCGGGGGGGGGGGGGTGGAGGAGGAGGTGCCCTGTTGTAAAGTAATCGAATGTTGGTCTACTAATTTCACCTGCTTGGGATAAAGTCATTAGTCTTTTCTAGTCGACCTCATTGAGTCGTGCTTGATGGGAAAATCTATGAAGACTCGAGTGCTCTTGACATTCGTAGAATGTGGAAGCCTTATTATTGACCCAAAGGGGCCGACTGCAATGTGGGCTATTCTAGTACTAATTGACAATGATGTGGTGGTGGTGGTGATGGTGGTGGTGGTGGTGATGATGATGATGATGACGGTGATAATGACGATGGGGATAATGAAGATACCTATTATGTAATGATTTGGATATTAAATGAGAAGATAGGGGTAAAGGATGATGTCCATGAGAAGTTCTGAAGAGTGAGAAGGAAGAAAAGGAGAGGATACAAGGCAAAGAGGAAGGTATAGGAAGAGGGAAGGGAGGAAGAGGGAAGAGGGAAGGGAGGAAGAGGGAAGAGGTAAGGAAGGAAGAGGGAAGGATTCAAGGAAAAAAGTTTAGGAGTAGAAACAGGAATGTACATGTCGGAAAGGCTTTTTTTTAATGTGGAAAGGGCAGGGATGAATGGGTGCATGAATGGGAGGGGGAGATGGAGGTTGAGCTGATGGGGGAGGAAAGGTATAACAAGGGATTAGATGAAGGAAGGGAGATAAGGAGATGGAGGAATAAGCAAGAAGGAGGTTGAGGAGAGGGAAGGGAGGAGGTAGTGAAAGGAGATGGTGAAGAAGAAATCCGAGAGAAAGAGGAGGAGAAGAAGGGAAAAATAGAGGGAAGGATTAATTTCGGAGCGCATTGTGATGCGATTAATATTACTAACGACCATATTGATAGTACTGCTCGGGGCATTGATGATGATGAAGCGATTTCTCTCTCGCATAGACAGTGTCATTGTCAGAATATCAAACAAAATATTGTCAGATACAGCAATTCTTTAAAAAATAGAAAAAAACACAGAGAAAAGTAACAAAAAGAATCACCCTGCCCAGGTCTGCCCCTGCCCCTTAAACCTCCAAAAAACAACAACAACAGACGCATATTAATTAACCCGTTCACTACGGCATTGTAAAAGTCCCATAGGCAAATACAGGTTCCCGTAGGCAAAGGATTAACAACACTTACCCCCAAAGTTTGGCCGGACCCTGTGATCATAGGTTTGAAGTATCTCATGCAAGATGGCGGACGGTCCGCTGAGTCCAGCAGGTGGCTCGTAGCTCGATGATAACGAATTTTCCGACATATCGACGTCGCTCATGGACATCGACGAAGCCGATGTGGGCGGAGACTTAGCGGTGACCGATTCCATCGTACTGTTCGAATATGAAAATAAAATGCAAACGAGATCGAGTGAATGAAATGATTGAAAATCATCTTATGATGTCCTTGGAGTTTGCAAAGATAAAGAAGCTTTACCCCCCCCCCCCAAAATCAGAAATTTGATAAAGATACGAAGATTAAATCAATATTAGTCGTTGTGAGTCCAGACGTTTGAGAATTCGTGACAAAGTAAAAAAAAAAAAAAAAAAAAAAAATTACCAACGAAAATGGGCCGGTGCCCTCATCAATTTTATTTCTAAAGTTTTGCATCACAACCATTGCTTAACATTACTGTCTCTGCTTTGCGAGGCGACGTCGCGATAGATCTGAAAAGCGACTGAATTCACATTTACTGCATTTTTAAAAGGAAGCTTATACTCTTTTTTTTGGGGGGGGGAGGGGAGTCTGAGTTAAACAAATCTGTCGACCTGTCCGAGGGGTGGATTGCCCAAATGGCCCCTGTAAATATGATATTAAAATGGTCGCAAGGTTATAATTTCTATTTGAATCTATAATATAAAAGGCATTTTCCCAACACAGATTTTTCATTGCATTTATCTAGATAAACATTATCATACTAATAAAAAATGGTATCAAATACAAAAGACAACGCTTCCCAGATTAGAAGACGAGGTCAAAGGTCACAACATCCATACATTTCTAATACAATACTTTACCATGCGGTTGATTTCAGCTTCCATTTTGCGTCTTTAAATTGAAAGATAATAACCGGTTTTTAATATACATCGGACTGACCGCTAATGTTTACCTGCTTGAGAGTGCAAACAGCGAGGACAGAGTTAAGTCGATTTTGTCCGCATTCGCAAACAAATCGACGCCATCTTCCCACTTGTTTGGCATACATTCACTTTTCACTTTTACCGCGCAATGCAAGATACCGTAGAGGGCAATGCCTCAGAAGTATATAGGTTAATCGTTGGCTAAAGTACAGGCCATATGTCACAGGTAGCCACGTTGCAATGCTGCGCACGAAATTGCAATGGTACATGCTCGAGCACGCCAAACTCTATTACAAAATACTGTTAGCAAATGCATTGGTTAAAAAATGCCGCGAAGCTTGACGACAGGAAAATGATTTAAGAAAAAAGCGTTAAAATAGATTGATTTTTCCTTGGAAATATTTTCCCTCTTCCCATTTTCATTTTTTAAGGGTGGTGGTTCAACCATAATGAAAGGCAATTTATGAATGCGTTTTCACCCACAAAAAGTTTGACTGTATCCTTAAAAATGTCCAACAATAAGCAGCACCTTCTAGATGCTCACTCACATAGGTTGCATTTCAAATGCCATTGCACCATAAATCTTTCTTTTGCGAAAGGTTGCCCGGTGAAATATTGACAATGCTTCTTTGAAAAACTGCAAAATCTTCGTCGTTTTGGGGGAGATTGAAAATGCAAATTTTTTTCATACACTGAGCACTTTAAAGTGCCATTAGGACAGTACTATTGACTAGACAGCAATCAGTTTCGTGTGCAATATGTAATGTCACAGATGGTATAATTTGGGAGATACTACAACATTTAATAATTAGCAAAGAATACACTGTATTTTTTGCTCTATATTCTGCTATTGTTTCTCTTATTGTTCAATTATGTTGAATCCTGCATATACTGTTGCCCCTTGTAATGGAGGAACACATAACGAAAAGAACATCAAATTAAGTTGGATGAAAACATAATGTTTGCGTCTTATTAAAATGGCCTCAGGTTGATATTTTCGGAAGTTGCGATGGTGATTTTAAAGAAGGATAGGCCTAACAAAGAACAAAAAAGCTCACCTATTTTTCACCTGTACCAAAATTCAACCTTCTCTTTAATCGAGAACCCCGATAGCATATTCTTGCTCAAATAATCGGCGGTTGAATCAATTTATGGGAATAAGGTTATGTGTTTGTCTCAATGTGCCTGTACCTATATAGGCATACCCTACGGATGTTGAAGTGTCTCGAGGAATCGGATTGAAGGACTAGATTGGTTGCGATTTAAGGTTTGAAAAGAAAAAGGAGGAGAGTTAGGAAGATGACGATGACGAAGGAGAGGAAGAAGAAGAATTTATGCATGAGAAGTAGCTATAGAATCATGAGTGAAAGTAAAAGTACATGAGAAAGAAATAGAGACATGGGTAGCATTAGGAAGAAGATGACAGCGGAGGTATGGACAAAATATAATTAATGACGAAGTAGAGTAATATTAGGAGAAAGTATGAGAAATAGAAGTAGGTGTAGAAGTAGAAGAAGTATGATTAGGAAGAGAATTGCACGACCGTATACACACAAAAAAAACGTAGAGGTAGAAAAAGCTAGGAGTAGAAGAAACAAAAGCAGACGTACAATAAGCAAGAAGAGGAGAAATATAAAAGAAGACGAAATGATGCAAAAGAGCGATTTTAGAAGTGGAACGTGAAGTGTAGAAGAAGAAGAATATTGAAAGTAGGAGTGGAATTTGAAGAAAGAGAAGTAAACAGGCAAAAGAAAAGGGTAGAAGTAAATAAGGTATAGAAGTGACCAGAAGCAGAAAAGCGGGCCACTCCATCTTTAATATTTAAACGGTTAGACTAGAGAATACCAACTTATCGCTTACAGCTATACGGTTATCCTATCAAATATTTGCTATCGTAGATACAGTTTTGCTGGCGGAGGATTATGTGCCTACCCTGCAGTTGTTGATGTATATAGAGGAATCGGATTGGGGGAGCGGATGCGTTGGGAGGTTTGAGGCTTGGAGTACGAGGATTAGGAATATATTGATATCAAAACAAAAATTTAGAAAGATGAAGAGGAATGATAAAAAGAGGAGTTGAAGAAGTAGAACATATTCAAGTAACTAGATGAGAAAGAAGATTTGAAGGAAAGAGGTAGAAGAAATAAAGAGAAAGACAAAAGAGTGGCAAAGGTTATTATTAGGAAGGGGTGCATAATTTTTCAGGGAAGAAAAACAAACACTGTCTCTTTACTTTAGGAGCCAATGGTCAGGAGCGGTAACACGGATGGGGAGGGGGGGGGGATTTAAATGACTGAGTGCACAACTATTCCCCAGGCCATGCCATAGTATTCAATGGAGAACGAAAACCACGTCAATTTCGAATCGATTTCACCTTACCCTACATCACTTTACAGCTTCCAAACTGTTTTCGAAAGCAGAGAGTCAATTTGCAGACACTTGGAAGGTGTTTCCCCCCCATGAAAAAGATCGATCGACTGAGCAAGTCAGATAGGAAACTGCCCTGATTATCAAGGCAACGTAAGTGATATCCAAACATGGATCGGTAAATAACACACAGGAAACGGGGGAGGGGTGGGGGTTACAGAAACCAGGGGCTGATCAATCACTTTATAAAAAACGAGATAAGGGAGCACCGTTTCTAAAACATAATCTAGCAAGCAAACATAAAAAAAATAGATGAATACAAAATTTAAGGTGTTTTTTTCTTCAAAGTTTCGAATGCCATGGGCGGGTTCCGAGTCGGAGGGGGGGGGGGGGAGTGGGCCGGTTGTGCACCCCTTAGACTCCGCCACCGCAGAAACAGCACCATCATGACAGCAACCCTTTAGCACTGTAAGCTATAAGCTATTTCACCACCCACACACCCACTTACCCACTTATTTCAACGGTCAAATTCTAGAAATGGACTACGAGTCATAGGTGAGAGATTTAGTCGCAGAAGAACTCGTACAAAGATGGATTCTTTTGTAGCCTAAAAGTTCCCCCTTGTTATTACTATCTGCCCCCCCCCCCTTTCTCTGCATACTTCTTTTCTTTCTCTTTCTCTCTCTCTTCCTTTCAGACAAGCAGGTTCTTTTAAAAACGCAGTTTTATCATTAATGATGGAGGTAACCTCTTGACAACCTCGTCTAATTTGCCCGAGCTAATTTGTCTTTATTATGTATGTAATTCCTTCCTGTTTGTTCAAGGGAAGCATTTCCGCACTTTTCTCGGCCAATGTCGCCACACCTGATCTTAACGCCAAAGGCAAGATGGCTTACGAAAGGATAAATTTTGCAATCAAGATCATTTTGTCTTGCTCTACGCTTTTTTTTCCTTCATCCTTCTACATTTCTCTTTATATTTCATTTGGCTTTCGTAACCTCTGCAATTTTCATAGAATACAAGTCAAATCCAAAGGTTAAGTAGAACAGGGACACATAAAGGCCACTAAGTTAAAATGGTGTAGCAACCCCCTTGTGTAATATCTCAACAAATTCAAACGACGAAGTACAGACAAATCGAGGGTCAATCAAGTCTGATCCTGAATCATCGAATTCAATGGCTCAATTTAGGCTGGGTCAGTAATGTTATTGAGTCGAAACTAGCAGAATCCTATAGCAATTTGTAGCTTCTAGCTTTTAGCAAGTATCAGTATGTGAACATAGGATAGGGCTGGTGGAGAAAGCTGAAGAAAAAAAAGCCAGATATGTATGTAGTGCATGTGGTACTAGTAATATGACAAGGGTATTGTATCTAATATCAAGAAAGAAGTAATTGAATAATCAAAACAAAAGGTGGTAGAAGCGGTTCAGATATAATATTCAGGCTTCAGGCTTTGAGTACGTTCACATATACACTTTATATTACACAGCGTAAAAATCACAGAATAATAGGAAGATCAAGGAGAAGAGGACGAGGGAAAAGAAAGAAGTAGGAGAAGAGAAAGAAGGAGAAAGAAATAACGTCACTGAACTCCATATATACATTACAATTATCTAAAGTAGATATGAATTAAGCATATATAACCACAATAACGACAGAGTGCGAAAATGATACCCTTCTCTGTCACGGTGGTAGGTTTAGGTTACATTTCTAAAGTTTTTTCCCCAACACGACCCCCCCCCCCCTGCGTACGCGCCTGATTCCATATAGGCCTATACGTTACAATTATCCAAAGTAGATACGAGTTAAGCATATATTTATAACGACAATAATTACAGAGTACGAAAGTGATACCCTCTCTGTCACGGTAGTAGGTTTATGT